GTCCATGGCGAAGCCTGTGCACTTGTTTACAGTGTTTTCCGTTGCGTTATGGAACATGTCCCTGTCAACGCTGCCAGATTCGTGCTCTGCCAATCGCTGACTCCGATAAAGGAGACCAACTGCTGGAAAACGTCTGATATGAACGATATGGTAGTCCTGTCGCTTGTCGAGAAAAAAACAGGTTGGCTCAGCGCCAAGCGCGACCGCGGACACGCCATATCATTGGCAGCGAACCAGAGTTTGAGTTGTACTGTTTAGTCACCAACGGACTTACGAGATAATGTCGACTTATTAATATTTGCAGTTATTTCGGATTAGTTTGATGAATGAAAGTTTTGTACTATTTTTTTGCATATCCGAGTTCTCTACAAAGCAAGTTTCGTTGTACAGGACTCAGCACATTGACAATTTGCGCTGCTCGTTACTGGCTGCCGCACTCACTACGACCCCCCCTCTCCTGGCGGCCACCATACGACCCCCCTGTTGGGGATTCCCCAACCCAACGATGTTGCCCCGTTGGGGCCTTTTTTTCCCCAGTGCAAAAGCCCTGCTCCAAGGCGCGCCGGCAAAACCGTCCCTGAATTTGTGCCCGTTGGTAGATTTAGCCGGCGAGTGTTGCCTACGATTGAGTTTCTTCTGTTATTTTCATGCTTGCTATACTGCTTCGCTAGCTTTAGCGGGTGAGTTATCCAATCTTTATGGAGTTGTGATAATTCCACTTTCAGAGCACTTACAGAGCTATCAGGGCCTTCATTTTGTGTAAGACTATTTTTATTTTCGATGTGGAGTCGATTAATTATGAAGATTTATTAACATGCATGTATTATATAGTTTTACCAGATACATATCTTGACATATATTTACAATACTCTTCAATTTCGGATGTAGTCACTCCTCGCGAGCGATAAATGTCCCCAAACCTAAATGAAGGTAAGCATTATCTTGTAGAACAGCATTACTTAAGCAGTGATCTTACCTTTTCATGCTCCTCTCAATATTTTCCCTGCGCTCGCGGTCTCGTTTCCTGAGATGCTTCTTCTTCATTGGGGTGCTGAAATTTTTTTTTGCTGGATTGGTGGCTTGCTCTCTTCGAGGGGAAACCTACCTCTCTCATCCACCGCAGGGTACACTTGGCTTCGAAATCTATATACTTAAGCTTCTCTAGCAGCGTACGCACATCCGGGTGGTCTCTTCCGAATGTGATGTTCAGGCGACTGAAGGAAAGTGATTACCTACCGAAGATTAGCGAGATTATATGCAATGCTTACTTGTGAAACGCTTCGGCAATGTTTGTAGTCCGAATATAGACTAATTCCCACTTGTTCCACATATCTTTATAAGGGCCGTCGAACCACGTCGCATGCTAAGTATTCCAAGGAATTCCTTGCATTCCGCATAAGCGACGTGGTCCGCCGCTACTGGAGGGTTCCACAGCGCTCGAACCTGTAAAATTGTGTTTTGTTGGAACAGAAATACTTCGCTGGGAAACCGTACCTCTGGGTAGAGTCGCCTGGGGAGGAAAACCACTCCTTTTATTGTGTCCCACCACTCGGTCACCACCGGAATTCTGCCGTGCCCCTGGATGAACTTGTTCAGCTTGGATGAGTTCTTGCGCCTGGAATCAAATGCTTAGTGGGATTTCTCTTAAGCCAGCTGCGAAATAGATTGTTACCTATTCCAGGCTTGCGCCAAGTGGAAGGCGCAACCTTCAACCTTCGCTTCAGGGAATAGGCGCCGCGCTGCCGCGATCGACGCCTTTCTCAAAATCAAGGACTATTCGTAGACGCTGCACTGGTCTTGGACGGTACTTTTCGAACAGGTCCTTCAAGTGTCCAAAGATCTTCGTGTAGACGTCCTCAGTCTTGTGGGCCGTCATCGCATAAAGAAGTGGGACCTCCACGCCCCCGTCGCATACGCCATGGACGCAGTACAACTGCATCAGTTCCTTGGGCTGCTTGGTGTGAACACCATCAGCCACTATGGCGTATAGCCCAGTGCAGCACGCCATCTGTAAAAAGTTTTTTAAGGACAATTCCTGTTGCAGT